CTCTGCGTGACTGAGCATCTTTCAGAGACACTTGGCTCTGATGTTCTTTTTTCCGTTATTTGAAAGTTAATTTGGGTAGTATATCATTATGAAGGTCTTGAAACGCACATTCGGACAATTGCGCAAATACAGTATTTTGGTCTGAGTGAATGAATTAAAAAAACATGTTTTCTATTTTTTTTTGGTTTCTGGGTCACATCGAAGTTTACATCATTTTTGACCAACTCAAAGGAAATCCTAAGCGCAGTAAAGCGAACAACTCAACTTCCAATTTTGGATATCCAGCAAACTGATTTGAAGGACACACCAAGAAACCCGTATTTTATTTTATTACATTCACAAGATTTATTGTGGCTAGACTATCTCAACCTTAAGATCATTCTGCTCGCAACATTGCGCTATAAAACGTAGGCAGTAGGGGAAGCATTTAAAGAAAACATGATAAGATGACTTTTCTTTCAAAGTCGTTTTTTATTGAAATATGAGAGAACCAATCTCGTAGCTTTTCAGCCTGTTGTGTATATAGTACATGTACGAACAGAAAGGGGAACAAAAAGGGTGAATGAAAAATGATTGAAGAAAGGTGACATCTTTGCTGCGTTTTTCATTAATTACTGTTTGAAAGAAAACAATTTCCACTGAGTGTATATTAAACAAAGAATGTTTGCATGTTTCCTTTTATTCGCTACTATGGTAAATCAAAAACCACCATCATTTTTTGCAAAGCGCCTGATAAAACTACCATCTGTGGTCTTGCCGAGTTTCTAACCTATGGACCTCCCTGCGGAATGTGAAAAGGAGATTGCGCATGTCAACGATTCTGACACGGAAAGTATGCGCATGCACGACTGCCCTAAGGCACGGAAGATATGCAAGTGCCGCCACCATGCCCCAGTGCCGCACTGGGGCATGGGAGATATGCGTATGCCACCGCCACCTTCGGGCAGGAGACGCATGCCGTTTCCAGTGGGAGACGTATACACATGTCGCCATTGGGTATGGGAGATATGAGTATGCCACGGCGATGTTTCTCTCATCTTGCGGTGCATAGACGTTGAGTTGCTTCAAGTTTTTCCCCTTATGCGATATTCTTCGTCTAAGGTACGCATCGCATAGGTGGACCAGAATTTTGAAGAGCCGCACTTTCATAGGTATGAAGTGTATAATCATGCGCGCTATTTAGGCTCACATGAATGTGATACTAGGCAAACAAGAATGATCAAGTAAATGCACTGATTTATGTGACTCACCAAACTTATGTTATTTTTACTGTCTGCTTGCGAAGAAAGAAAATTGAAGTTCTGATGCTGGGCTTGACCA